TGCCTAATCACCCGGCCCTAGTTGGTAGTATTAAAGCGAGCCCTGCTGCTCCCACCACGAGAAACATCCAGTTTGCAGATTTTGCAACATGCAGTTTCAGCATCATTGTTTTCCATTGAAAAGTGTTCCCACACTGTGGACATGGTTGCATAGTTGTTACGAGTGAACTCGTTTTTGTGTTGCTAATGTTGATTAGATGTGGTAGCATCTTAAATTGGAGCAACTTCAACAGTTGTAGATGTTTATAATGTGGTGATTACTTTATCAAAGTTTAATCAGAATCCATCCACCAGTTCACAAAAGTCTGCCCAGACGAACACACTCACGAGCAAAACTCATTATGTCATCGGCCGGCGGGTGATGGAGAACACAGGACATGTTATCCACCCACACATTCAAAAATGAGTCTAAATAGCTTCTAAATTGTTCTGTTCCCACAAAGCTCATGGAAACATTTTCTTCCAAAAATAGGGCTGCGTTTTGCCTGTGGGCAGGGGCACTGACGCTGCTGTCAGTTTGCACCGCGGAGGGGGGTGGGAGGTGCCAGGTCTCGCAGGAAAAGGGCGAGGTGCAGCACGGCGGGCTGTGGAACAAAGCTCAGCCATGGACGGGAGCCTCGTGTCGCATTATGAACCATTTAAAATCTGTTCAGTGTTTTTAACGTCAAACTTTGTTTTCCTTCTTGATTAAATCATTAGTTCTCTTCGCGGCTCAGCAGACAGCGCAAACACAGACGTGTCGGTGTGCTCGGCTGGCTCCCGTGCTTACACACGAGGGCGAAGCACGTTTTCTTCCATCTGTCTCGGGCGTGTCATTAAGAGCAGCTTCAGGTGACAGCAGTGGAAAAACCCACTGTTGACAGAAGTTAACTGGTAAGAAGGGTTCGACAACACTTTTTTGTTTTTACCTGCCCGAAACAAAAATGTTAAAATTTTGATCAAATAAGAAAAACGTGTACCGTATTTGTACTACAAAAATATAACATGGTTATACAGATGTATATAACGTGACATCTGATTAAACAGATGCAAACATTTTAGACTGAGTTACTAACAGTCAATTGTATTATCAAGAGCAGATAACACAGAGTGCTGTATCAAGGCACCTCAGTGGGAAGTCTGTGGGAAGGAAAAAGTGTGGCAGAAAACGCTGCCCAACGAGAAGAGTTGTCAGTCAGTGAAGGTCTGGGGTGCCATGTCAGCTGCTGGTGTTGGTCCACTGTGGTTTATCAAGGCCAGGGTCAATGCAGCTATCAGGAGATTTTGGAGCACTTCATGCTTCCATCTGCTGAAAAGCTTTATGGAGATGAAGATTTCATTTTTTCAGCATGACCTGGCACCTGCTCATAGTGTCAAAACCACTGGTAAATGGTTTACTGACCATGGTATTACTGTGCTCAATTGGCCTGCCAACTCTCCTGACCTGAACCCCAGAGAGAATCTGTGGGATATTGTGAAGAGAAAGTTGAGAGACACAAGACCCAACACTCTGGATGAGCTTAAGACACAAGACCCAACACTCTGGATGAGCTTAAGACCCAACACTCTGGATGAGCTTAAGACACAAGACCCAACACTCTGGATGAGCT